GGGCCCGTGGGCGGGGGGGGGGCGGGAGCCTCTGTGCGTCTCCGCAGCGCTTGCGAAGCGCACTCTCCAGTGCTGCTGCAAATGGCCATCTAAAAACCGATTTTTATTTTGTTTTATTTTATTATTATTATATATATATTTTTTGCTACAGGGCGCGTGTGTTCGCCAGAGACACAGAAAGCGAGGAATCACTCCCTGGGGGGATGGCAACGCCGCAATCCCTTCTCCTCCATTCTCCATTCTCCTCCTCTAAGGATTTTGGGCATGCACGCCCCCCGCTTCCCCCCAGTTTAAAACCACCGGTTCTGGGAGTAGAACCAAGACAGGCCATGTGGGAGCATGTGGGAGTCCATTGCCTTAAGCACTACACCACTTGCAAACTGTTTTTGTTTTGTTTTGTTTTGTTTCTGGTTTTTAAATTCTGATATTTCTTCATTGGCCTGTAGATCAGACTGACTGAAGGAGAAAACAATCGCCTTTGGTCTTCTTCCTGAGATTTTATTAACTAAGCTTATATCTCAGGAAGGAGGAACAGCGACACACCTGGACAAAATTTTCATGACCTAGCATCTCCCAAGCCTATCCAGATTTCAAAGAGAATGATTCACTCTGAGCATCAAACCCATTCTTCTTCCCTGAAAATAATTTTAGTGTGCCGGACTCACTCTCTCCCTGACCCCAAATGACTACAAGGTCATCCTGCTCCTCTTGTCATAGGATGCAGCCAATCACTGCTGTACAAGACTCCTGCCTATAGCATTGGCGTAATCCTCCTCCTCATTCATGAATTTTGCCTTTAAAAATTATCCTAAATCCTGTAAGAGCTCAGCACACAGGATTTAGGGCAATTTCTATATAGTGGTGTCCCGGCTATTGTCCTTACCTTGGTCTAAATAAAATCTTTTGCTTTACTTGCTTTACCTCAGCTTTTATTTAACTTAATTAATTATTTTAGATTAGTAAAGTTATAGACTTCGTTCTGGCCTTGTGATCAATTACAGACACAAGGACTGTATAACGTAGCATATTTCATCTTTGCTTATCAAGGGAATGAGTTTATTTGTATGTATGAACCGCTTCGTCTCTTTTTCACTTGTGATTTTATATGTAAACTGTTGGAGGTTAGGCTTATAAGTATAGTCTTTAAGTCACGGTATAATCAATGTGACTGTGACTGAATCTGAACAATAAATAATGTAGCAGTCTTGGCTATAATGACTGGAACTGTCTGGCTCCTTATTTTGGGGAAAGGGTGAGGCTTCACTTTTTTTTTCTTTTTTTTTTTGAGAGGTTTTTGCTATAGGGTGCGTGTGCTCGCTAGACAGACAGAGAAAGACATAGAGAGAGAAAGCGAGAAATCACCCCCGAGGGGGGATGGTCACGCCGCAATCCCTTCTCCTCCATTCTCCTCTCGGGATCTTGGGCACGCACGCACACGCGCCCGGCGTGAGTTTTAAGTCACCGGGTCCGGGACGCGAACTGTGTTCGACTACGTGGGAGTCCAGCGACATAGCCATTACGCTAACTGCTGGCTCCCCCCTCCTTGCCCTTTTGAGTGAATGGCATTTCCATAACAGTTTCCATCCATACCACACTAGCTCCAGTGAGGACACAGGAGCAGACACATGCATCATTGAGCTCTTTATTGGTAACGTGAGTTAGCACACAGGGACAGAAACATGGGTCACCGAGCTCTTCATAGACAACGTGGGTGCTGAGGAGATAAGGGCAGTGCGGGCAGCCGGGCTGCTCAGGTGAACACGTTACAAGAACCCCTCTCCCGTCTGGCTCCCGAAGAAGGACAGCACGTTACGGGTTATCTTCTATGACGATGAGAATGGGCTCAGGCTGTGCAGGAGGTGCGTTGCTCTCAGTTAAAGCCCTCTGTTGCCTCCTGTACTTGGCCCGCCTGTTCTTAAACCAAGCCTGCAATCAGAGGGAAAGGGCTTGGCTGAGCACATGCACCAGTTCATGCCATAACAGAAAAGCAGAGCCTGCAACTCTTTATACCCCTGACACCGTGAACCGCAGCAGACGCTTCCTTATGGCTAACTCACTACCTCCAGAGAGTTCCCACCAAACTCCCCCCCAGCTCCGCTTTAGCGAGCACTGCAGAAGTGCCGAGCTGTGGAGGAAGCTTGTTATTACTCTGTCTCTCCTCACAACTGGGACATTCTTCCGTGGTGTCTTCCTGTGTTGGATACAGGTCTAACTTAGGAGCTGTCCTGAGTCATCCTCAGTGCTTTGTTTCCTGCTAATGGGACAAAGAGAAGTCCCCATCCTGACAGGTGACCATCAGCTGTCCCACTGCCTGTCCTCCCCCACTAGGAGTCGTTTGTCACCCTGGTTATGGGGGAAGTGGGATATGGACATCTGGGGACCCCGTTCAAAGTCACAGGGGAGGGGACAGTTCCCTATGGGAAAAGCCGATCTGGCGTGAAGGAAACCGTCAGTAGGAGGGAGCACAGTGGGTGTTTAGGTGGCCGCTTTCCTTCGAGGAATTCTAAGTGCTCACTGGTCCTCGGAAACCTCTGACAATGAACAGAGTGGCCTGGAAAGTGAGGCCTGGGCACTGTCTTGATGCTTTAGTCTGTGGTAGTAAAGTTGACACCAACTAGTTCCAAACTTCCTGAAACTCTAATCTTTGCCCACCTACGGATTTAGGGGGAAGAGAAATAAATTATGGTACCCGTGTCGTTTCTGCATGTGGCAACCTGTGGCACCTTCCAGACCACCCTGGCTCAGGGCCAGGTCGGCAAACTCTGCCATAGCCAAACTTGCAAGTGCCTGCAGTGGAGCTGCCATTGCCCAGCTTGGCGGGCTCCCCTGAGAACTGCTCCTCAACCAGCAGATCCCACTCCCATCCGATACGACTTGGTTTGAAACGGGTCTGTGCATGCTGCAACCCCCTGCCTTAGCCTCCCTCGGCGCTGGGATTAAGGAGCACACCCCTGCGCCTGGCCTCTAGTTTAGACCAAGACTTGAACCCCGGAATCCCATGTGGTCCCAGCCTGCCGAGCTCAGTGCCTTGGCAGCGTGCACCGCGGTGGCTGGGCCTCATCCCTCAGGCAGAGGGAAAAGCGTGGACCTGGCAGTTCAGTAAGATGGTAAGGGCCATGTGGAGAAGGGGTCACAGCCTGGCTCCTCCCTACATAGCTGCCAGGTGTTACAATGCAATCAGCCAAACCCCTTAGGTAGAAGTCACAGTCCTCGCGGTGGTCTAGTTCACGGGGGTTTCATGGTACTTAATCCTTTTGGAAGTCCCCACACTGCAACTTGTAAGTGACATGAAGGGACTTCTCTCCCTCCCTGATGGCTCATTTCCAGTCTGTCATCTAAGGAGTTGCTTTCTCTCTGCGCCATGCACAGACAGTGAAAGGGGCCAGTGTAACAGGGCTCCTTCTGGGGGACCCAAATGCACCACTGGTCGACTCTCCACCTACAGAACCAAAGTGCACAGTGGCCTACCCCGGGGATGGCTGGAACTAGGTCTGTATGCCCAATACTGCTTTCAATAGCAGACCATTATATTTGCATAAGATAGGGGAAAAACTGGATTTAGTTTCTTGGGGGCAAATTCGTACTATAGAGTTGGAAACAGACAAGAATGCCCAGTCTTTTCCCTTATTTGTTTCTTGCGGCTCAAACTTGCCTTCAGAACAACGTTGAGAGAACACTTTGTAAACCGGGGTGGGTGGGAGCAAGCAATTCACCAAATCCGAGGGTCATTTTTTCCTCTGAATAAGCTTCATCAGCCTCAGAAAGAGGGTCCGCCCTGCTCCCAATTTGTCCCGTCTGAGCCAGGCCCGACTCAGCCATCAGGTGCCAACCCCTAGTGGGCTGCTTGTCTGGACACCCCTGGCGCCCGCACCATCCAATCTGCACTGTCTCCCCCTCTTGCATGGACACTGCAGCAAAGCTCATGATAAAGTCAATGTGATTTTTCTTTTCCTTTGTATTTTGGTGGAGGAGGGTTTACTATCACTTTGATAGAACTCCTGGCTGTTTGGTCTTAAATGGTCATTATTGGACCCCAGGACCTATAATAGCCACCATTGCTGAAGGGATGAAATGTGTTTGAGAAGAATACCCTGAGATACTGGCCACCCCCCACCAAAACAATTTCCAGGGAACTGGCCTCTTCAGGATGTTTCCATCCTAAAGGAAAATATAAATCCTTAAATGTTAGACATTCCTTAAGAGAATACTCACTCAAGCAGTTAGTAGTCCTATGAGGTGGAATTTCTGTTGTGTCTACAAGGACTATTTCGGCTATCATTTTTTTCTAATCCTGTCTTCCTTCTCTGGTCAACCAACATCACCTCAATGCTATTCTTTCTGTTTCATTCTTTAGACAACAAACAAAACCTGCACTTTCCCCCTTTTCCAATCACAATGTGACTGTCTGAGCAATGATTTTAGGTTGACACAATCAAAGCATTCCAGAATAGTAAAAGTGAGGGCTGCCACTCTCTGGACGACCTTACCAGAAATTTGAAAGCAAAAAGGGGACCAGGCTGTTGGACTTGCACGGAATCTTTTCACATCAGCTCTGCTTGAGTAAACACAGTTTAGTTACCATAGAGAGTGTGGTGTGGGGCAATTTCCCCCTCACCCCAATATGTACGAATTCACTCAGTCAGCCTAGCGCATATGCCTGCCTTGAATCCTATTAAGGACAATGGAACCCCTCATAGCCCGGCTGCTCCCACATTAGTCTGGGCACTCTCCAGGTCCGTCTGAGCCCGACGCGACTCCGGGCCCATGTGCTCCCTGAAGGACACCAGTGCGAGAAGGGGCTGATAGACACATGCAGGTATAGAAAGGGGTGTGTCATTATGCATACCTCTGCTATACATGTGTGTGTTTAACTTGTACACAGCATCGGAGGAGCTGTTGGATTTGTTTTCCCTTAGCCAATCGCGTCTCTCCTGGAACTGGGAGGGAACCCTAAGCTGGAGGTTATTTATATTTATCCCATTTTCCTCCCAGAGAGACTCCGAAGTTCAAAATTTATTTGCAAGCCTAAAACAACACACACGCCAAAGAGTCCACCTTGAGAAGGTCTAGGACTAGATGTCTAAATTCTGAAGCAGGTTTTAGAACGGGTGTTCTGTAAAGATTTTTTTTTTCTAGGCTTACTGACCTGGACTCTCTTGTCAGTCACATCTAGGCGTCTTGCAAGCTTCCTTCTGCGGAGAGAAAACCACAAGGGTTCAGTATTTAGAGTTGGGCGATGAAATTAAATATAGTGTGCACATTTTGTGCTCATTTAAAAATTTACATTTCCTCTCACAGCTCCCAAGCAGTTTTCTGTCATTTCTCAGCTCCAGGCTTGCTGTACAAAAGGGTTGCCCTTATTAAAAAGCATAAGGTTGCATCAACAAGTCAGTGGTCACAATATATAATTTTTTCCCAGAGGTTTTTACCTTAGGTCATCTATGCCCCCTGAGAGAGAGAGACACACATAGTGAGAGCATAAGTGAGAAACCACCCCCCCCATGGGGGTTTTCCATGCCACAATCCCTTTTCCATTATTCTCCTCCTGGGATCTTAAGCACACACACACATGCACCCGGCGTGATTGTCAAGCCTCCGGGTCCAGGACTTGCACCGCGGTAGGCCACGTGGGAGTGCAGCAATGTAACCATTATGCTATCTTCTGGTCCCAAGATAAATAATTTAATGTACTATTAAAAATAAAAATTGGGAACCAGCAGTTAGCGTAATGGCTATGTCGCTGGACTCCCACATAGTCGACCACAGTTCGCGTCCCAGACCGAGTGGCTTAAAACTCACGCCGGGCACGTGTGCGTGCGTGCCCAAGATCCCGAGAGGAGAATGGATGAGAAGGGATTGCGGCGTGACATCCCCTCTGGGGGGTGATTTCTCGCTTTCTGTCTCTCTGTCTCTCTCTGTCTGTCTGTCTGTCTGGCGAGCACACGCGCCCTATAGCGAAAACCTCTCCAAAAAAAAATAATAAAAATTAATACAAAACATATTATGAGCAAGTCATCAACATTTAAGGAAATACTTTTATTTATCATTATTATTGTTTTTAATTTGATATAGGCACACACCAGAGCGAGACAGACAGAGGGAGAGGGAGAGAGATAGTGAGAAAGAAAGTGCTAGATCCAGGACTTGAACCATGGTGTTGACCATGTGGGAGTCCAGCACCCCAACCACCATGGCACCTGCTGGCCCCAAGTCATCAACATTTTAAATAAATGATCCATCACCACAATTGCATGAAAGACCCTCAGTCTCCCTATCTTCAATCCAATAAAATTTTATTTATTAATCTGGCTACCAGCACAGTCAATGAAAGGAAAAAAAAATAAATAAGACTGTATAAAAACTAAAAACCTTAAAGTCTCAAAGGACACAACCAACAAAGTGAGAGACAACTCTCAATTTTGTAAGAAAATACTTGCAAATCATGTTCTGATAAGCAGTCAATATTCTTAATATCTGAAGAGCACATAAGACCTCATAATATAAAAAAGAAAAACAAACACCAAGATTAAACAATGGACAAAGCAGGGCCAGCAGGAGGCGTGGTGGTTAAGAAACCAGATCTCACATGGCCACCTCTGTGGTCTGAGTCCAACTTAGTGGCTTAAGAAGCATGCCTAGCAGAGATCAGCAGATGGCGTAGTGGTTATGTTGCTGGACTCCCATATGGTTGACAACCATTTGAGTTCCAGATCGGGTGGTTTAAAACTCATGCCAGGTCTGTGTGCATGCATGCCAAAAATCCTAGGAGGAGAATGGAGGAGAAGGGATTGCAGCTTGGCCATCCCCCTTGCGGGGAGGGGCTGATTTCTCGGTTTCAGTTGCCATCTCTCTAGCAAGCGCATGTGCCCCACGGTAAACATCTCTCCAGAAAAGAAAAGTAAAGGGACTGGCAGTTGGCATAATGGCTGTGTCGCTGGACTCCCATGGAGTCAACTGCAGTTCGAGTCCCAGACCTGGTGGCTTAAACTCACGCTGGGCGCATGTGCGTACGTGCCCAAGATCCCGAGAGGACAATGGAGGAGAAGGGATTGCAGCATGGCCATCCCCCTTGGGAAGTGATTTCTCGTTTTCTGTCTCTCTGTCTCTGTCTGGGGAGTGCATGCACCCTTATAGCAAAAATGTCTCAAATAAAAAAAAAAAGAGAGAGAGAAAGGAAAAAAAAAGAAAAAAGAAAAGCAAAGAAAATCATGCCTGGCATGTGTGTGTATGTGTGTCCAAAATCCCAAAAGGAGAACAGAGGAGAAGGGACTAAAAATGACTATCCCACCTAGGGTGTGATTTTTCGCTTTTCCTCTCTCCAACAAAGTACACATGCCCTATGGTTAAAAAATAAAAAAAAGTGTGTACTTCCAAAAATAGATGGTAGTACTAAGATAAGAGTAAAACAAAATGCACAAGGAAGAGACATTTCTCCAAAGAAGATACAAAAGGGGCCACTAAGAACATGAAGAGATGCTTGACATCATTAATTACTAGAGAAATGCAAATAAAAACCACAAGGATGTCACCCCCCAGCAATTGGAATGGCCACTATCAAATAGCAGAACATACTCAGTGCTGGCGAGGCGGTGGAGAAATGGGAACCCCTTTGCTCTACTGGTGGGAATGTAAATTGGTGCAATTGTCATGAAAAAAAGTAGTGACTCCTCCCAAAATTAAACAGAATTATCATATGATTTAGGAATTCCATTTTTGAGTATGTACCCCCCAAAAATGAAAATACAGACTTGCAGAGGTATTTGTAGACCCAGAATACCAACAGTATTATTATCATTATTATTATTATTATTATATTATTTTTGGAGAGGTTTTTGCTATAGGGTGCGTGCACTCGTCAGGAAGACAGAGAGAGACAGAGAGACAAAAAGCGAGAAAGCACCCTCCTGGGAGATGGCCATGCCGCAATCCCTTCTCCTCCATTCTCCTCTCAGGATCTTGGGCACACACACACACACACTCACACGTGCCCGGCATGAGCTTAAGCCACCGGGTCCGGGACGCGAACTGTGGTCAACTACATGGGAGTACAACGACATAGCCATTACGCTAACTGCTGGTCCCGCAACAGCATTATTCACAAGAGCTGAAAGGTGGAAGTAATTGACACCTCTCCACAGAGAAATGATAAAACACGGTGGGGGGTAGATACATATGCAGAAAATTAGCCTTAAAAAGGAATGAACATCGTGGGACCAGCAAATGGCATAATGGTTACAACACTGGACTCCCATGTAGGTGACCCCGGTTCTATTCTCACAACGGTCAGCCAGTGCAAGGAAGTGGCGAAAATTCAGAAAGGAAAATGGAGAAGGGTCTGTGGTGTGACCGTTCCCAGGGGGGTGATTTCTCGCTTTCTGTCTCTGTCTCTGTCTCTGTGAGTGCATGTGCTCTATATAGTAAAAAAAAACAAGGATCTTCTAAGCATGCTACCCAGGGTGAACCCTGAGGACATAACTGGAAGTGAAGCGCCAGTCACAAACAGGAGAACCCTGTATAATTCAGGGCTGCAAATGAGAAAAGTGGCTGCAAGGGGCTGGGGAGAGGGAAGGGAGGACTCATTTAGTGGAGTAGGGTGTTGGTCTGGAAAGAGAGAAAGGTTCTGCAGGTCTGTTGCAACCGTGTGCACACTCTTCAATAAAACTCAGCTCTGCACTGAAGGCTGGCTCCCATAAACTTTTAGAAAACAATTGTTAGAGGAGGCATGAGCTCACTGGAGGCAGGGGTGTGCGGGGAGGAGGAGGAGAGAGAGAAAAAGTGAGAAAGCCCCCTCAAAGGGACCAACACACTGAAGGTGCACACACACCAACACACATGCACGCGTGTGTTTCTTTAAGATGCAGGGTGGGGAGGCAAACCACACAGTTGGCCATGGGGGATCCAGCCGCCTAACCCTCCCGCCACAAGCTGGCCCTTAATACTTAACTTTCACTTTGTGTGCATTTGACCAAAGTAGAACAACAAACACCAGCGGCCACGACCAGTCTGCAGACTTGATCCACATCAATATTGCACGAAAATATTTATCTTCAAGTCCCGAAGGCACCCCACCCCCAACACCACCACCACTGCAAAGGCGGGCAGAAACCGCAGTGGCTTTAGCTTAGGAAGGAAATGGGTGGGGTGGGGGTGGGGGTTGCAGAGTAAAAGGCACCTCAAATGAACACGCACCCCTGGAGAACCGGGCACCTCCCAGAGCGCGTCCCTTACCTGGTCAGCCAATCGGGGTAGTGAGTCTCTTCGAACACACTCTCAAGCTCCTGCAGCTGCACCTGCGTGAACTTTCTGCGCACGCCTTGCGGCTGTCCGGAACCGCAACCCTGGCCCTCCGCAGCAGCGACGGCCGGCGCCGCGGGCGGCTGCTGCCCAGGCTCCTGGCCTTCGCCAGCGGCCTCCTGGTGCACCTCGCCCTGGCGGTTCTCGTTGGCCTCAGGGTTCACCCCGAACTCGGGGTCCGGAACTTGATCGCCAACATTGGCTGCCTCGGCCATCTGACTTTCGGCCACCACTTCCACTTCTTGCACCCCCAGGCTGAAGTCGAACTCAGGATCCATGGCCAGAAGCCAGTGGAAGCTATTGCCTCCTCGAACTACGTACAGGCTGGGGCCCGGAGCTAGGCTGCAGGGTGCAGGCAGTCCTTGTTCTCGAGCCAGGACTGGATACAATCATTTCGGGGCGAGGTGAAATGCAACACTCCGCTGTAGGGGCTTTCTATTGGTTTTCTTTTTGCCGCCAGTTGCAGTGGGTGGGATTTGCTTCCACGCCAACGCCAGGGTGTGTTCTGATTGGAAGGGCCGGTGCAGAGAAGAGAGGCGCCAAGAGGGACATGCTTACCTGCAGAATCAGAGTTCCAGCTTGCAGTTTAGCCGACTCCTTCCTACCCAGGCAGGGTGACTGCCCTGAGAAATGCATTGTGCTGGCCTGCAAGCTGTTTCCAGGACAGAGAGGAGAGTAGATGAAGGAATGGACTCCACACTGACCACAGAATCCCTTGTGTAAAAAGTAGGGAGAATGTCTCAGGGCTCTGTATCCGGTAGCCTGGGCTTGGCAAGGTCTTGTAATTAACTGAAGTGATTTGTTAGGGGGTCGCTTGCTTGGAGTTACCCAAAAGGTACTGAAAGTAGAGCCCACCATGCTTCCAGAGAATTTTAAAGATTTAGCTCGCAGAACTAAAGGTATTTTAATGAGCTCTGGGGGAATGTGGGCTGGAAGTCCACATGGCTGACTATGGTTCGTCTCCTGGACCTGGTGACTTGAAAATCATGCCAGGTCCAAAATTTGCTTGCAGGCCCCAAATTGAGAGGAGGATGGAGAGGGGATTGCAGTGTGGCCATCGTCCCCCAGAGTGATTTCTTCCTTCCCCTCTTACTGTCTTTCTCTGTCTATCTCCTGGGAACACATGTGCCTATGGCAAAAATAAATAAGTAAGTAAGTAAATAAATAAATAAACTAAAAAAGATTTAACTAAGGCAAAATGGAAATAAGATGCTGCCCAACAAGTTCCCAACGGTGTGGAGGTCTGATTTCAGCACCACTGCAAAAACTCGAAAGGAGCCTCTTCCTAGCCAATCATTTCAGCATAGTTACTAGCCCTGCTGGATTATTGGCTGCCGGATCCCGGGGCTGATCAAAAGACATCCGCCAACTTTTCTCCACGGAATACTGTGAAATCTCTCCCACCCTTTCCCCATTCCTGCGCCCAAAGTGGCTTGCAAAACCGAGCAAAGTCGTTCCTTTAGCTGAGATGAAACTGGAGCTCCTATTCTCACGCACGGCCCCGTGCTGCCTGCCTTCGCCCTTCTCGCCAGCACAGTCTGAAATGGACTGGCCCGCGTTGCGCATGCTCGTCCCGCAGGCCCCAGGCACCGCAAGTGACAGTAATTAAGAGAGCCGATCGCAGGCGTCTAGGGGGTAGTTCATGTACGCGGTGAACTGCGGGCAAGCGTGCTGTCACCCGCACCAGGCACCACAAGAAGATCGGCCCGGCTGGGGGCCACACCTCTCGCCCTGACCAGGGATCCTGGCGAATGGCCGCTCAGAGTCCGCGGAACCTCACAGCTTCAGGGACAGCACTCCAGACAGGGAGCCTTAGCTTAGGCGAAGTCCCCATCAGCCCAGCTACTGGGGCCTGAGAATCGACAGGACCGAGGAGAGCGTCACAGTGATCAGGGCGAGGAGAGGAAGACACCGTGGTGCACCGGAAGGGTCAGAGTCTGCTTTTCCTTACATTTTTAATCACTTGCTCGTAATCACTTTGAGTTTTCAAAATGGCGCAAAAAGAATTATTTTTCTGAAATCCCGAGTTTTCCGATGTCCTCTGAACGGAGTGTCGGGCGAACACCACCCCAAAGCAAGCCTTGGTCTGGATATTACAGAACAGTGTTCTGCCGGGGAGCGGTGTCCGGGGATCCTATTTAAAAGAATGCGTGGGGGGGAAAGCTCGAAGCAAGCCCCATCCATAGTTGCTTCTGTCTACAGTTCCACCTAGGGACCATTAGTGGCTCTCTCCCCGACGGAAGGCGCTTGCAAGGCGCATGGGTGTGACCGACCGCAGTTCGCAGGTCACTACACCTGAAAACGTTCTTAGCAGGACAGCCACGGTAAAGCCTGCTTCAGGACTTGGTCCTTTGTCCTAGAGGCTCTGAATTTGGTTAGCTTTTGCTGCCTTTTCCATGTTTGCGAAGTAAGTTAGAACTCTGACGTCTTTGTGAATGGACAGGCTGAAGAGGAAACCCCAGGTTAGGGAAATTTCCTTCTATCAGGGGACACATGTCTGAAAAATGGGAGAGGACAGAGACCCAAACTGTAGTACTTCTAGTCCCAAAGACAGTTGTACATATATATATATATACACATACATACATACATGGCCAATATATGTGAGCAACGAATACCTATGTCATACTATGTGAATATAGATAATATGTGGCATACGCTTTTGTACGTATATAACAGAATACTCTGAACGTTTTTGGAAAAACGGAATTAAAGTACAAGTTTCTTTTGGTGCAAAACATGTGCAATCCCTACACAGTGTTTTTATAACATCCATTTTCCACGCACTTTGGAAGCCTCCCTCATATTTGCAGACACACAGGCAGATGTGTCCTAGGGAGTATTTCTATGTGAAGACCGTCTCTGAGACGGGAGTAAAATGCCCACCGTCTGCGACATAGAACTGCTGAGAGGAATAAATGGCAGAATATACGCTAGTACCTCTCACAATGCCCCGTCACAGAGAAAGCCCTCGGGAATGCTCACTACCGTTACTGCATAATATTAATATGGCTGGCACCACCATATGATCCATTTGGTATAATGGAAAGAGGTTTAATTCGGGGTCACACAACCTTTTTTTTCCAAGTCCAGTATAACATTGATTTAGACCAGAAAAGCGCTGTTACAGACAGGTTAGGAAGACTTTTTAAAGCACTGATAAAGCCTCTCTGTCAAAAGGAATGGCACTGAAATTATTTTTTAAAAGAATTGTTCATTTACTTTCATTTATCGTTATTAGTATTTTATAATTTGCTAGATGGCATGCACACTCACCAGAAAGAGAGAGAGAGAGAGGGGCTCGGGGAGAGGGGGTGGAGAAAGCAAGCCTCCAGGTTTGGACGTGAACCGAGGTCAGTCACGAGGGAGCCCAGCGCCTTAGCTACCACGCCGCCTCCTGCGGGCCCTGGCACTGAATTTATTTTAACATCTTAAAGCTCTTAAGAGTGGAACTAAATTTTCAGTAGAAGAATCTGATTCTCCTTCTGGGTTTTTGGCCTTCAAAAGACAGAAACCAAGTCAAGTAAAATAAAACATGACAGAAGCAAATAACAAAGAATCAGCAACAACAACAACAAAACCCAAACACTGATTGCACCAAATATTGAAAGCACAGTATTATGTTAAACAATATTTCTAAGTTTAAAAATAGCAGAGAGATACTGGAAGCTCTGGAGAGACAGTGTGAGAAATACTAAGCGTTCGGGGAAGCCATCGTGTGCTTTTCTATTCGAATCTGAGCCACGACTTTCCCGATGACCCAGTAGCTAGCATTTGCCAAAAACAGCTCATCCCGAGAATTGCCTAGGAGGAGACATAAGAACACGAATTCCTAGAGTCTGTTCTAGACCTTATGACCTAGTTTCCTGGTAGGAAGGCACTGGAAATCTGAACTTTTAGCAGGTGTCTGAGATTCTTGTGTGTGAGCAGCTGGTAGACGAGCCACATTGCTGCCCCATAGAAATGCACTAGAACTGCAGAATTCCGGCTTCTACCCCACACCTGTTGTCTCTGAACTGTCATGTAATGGTACCTCAAGTACCTGCACACGCACAAAGTACGCGAAGCATTACCTCAGCTGAGTCCTATATCTTAGCAAGTCTGGAAACAGGTAAAATGGACTAAGTCACATGGCTTACATCTGGGATCACGCCCCGGCCCTTCCACTGACCAGCTATGAACTTCCGCCTAGGAATGACTGGTGGTAGAGTAAGAGGGTTATTGTGAGTTTTACATCGCCGGACAAGCAATTCTTTTAACTGTGGTGAGCCATCAAAGGCTGAATTGCAAGAGATGAAACATTTGGATAAAGGAGATAGGAAAGACTAGGGAGGCAAAGATTGTGACTACAGTGTTTGGAGACCTACCACGTGGCGGCCACCTCGCCAGGGAATTTAAAGCTACTGGTGTGCATAGAACAAAATACACACACACACACACACACACACACGTAAACCTGTGCTATCTGAATGAGGCCAGCGGCTTAGACCGTTGTCAATTTCCTGACCAGGATACTGTGCCGTACTCAAGCAAGTACTCATTGACAGAACCAGGGTCACGGATATAGGATGACTCTGCATTTCATATACAGCTGCGCAAGACCTTACGATAATTTCTGGTTAAAAATTTATGGAAAAAAAAAACTGAGTGAAAAACTGCCCTGGACGCTAGCAGGTGGCATGGTGGTTAAGGCCCTGAACTCGCACGTGCTCAACTGCAGTTTACGTCCTGGACGTGGTGGCTTGCTTTCTTTCTTTCCCTTTCTCTCTCTCTCTCTGTGGCCAAATTTAATAAAGATAATAAAAATAAATAAAACTACATAAATTATTCCTTAAAAAATAAAATCTTCCCAACCCAAGGAAGATCTCCCTTTTCTGTTTGAGAAATGTCAGGTATAGGAAGATTGAGGAGTCACACACAGTGAGGTGTTTTAGAGACCCAGACTGAAATACTCCCTGATGAAATGATGGGAGGTGCAGATTTGCATCACAGAAATCGCAGGGGCGATGCAAGCATGTTGGAGAATCGGTTACGGTATTCATGTAAGAAGGTTCCCTATGAATCACTCTTTTTTTTTTTTTGAGAGATTTTCACTGTAGGGCGCGTGCGCTCGCCAGACAGACAGAGAGAGACATAGAGACAGAAAGAGAGAAATCACCCCCCAGGGAGGATGGTCACACCACAATCCCTTCTCCTCCATTCTCCTCTCGGGATCTTGGGCATGCACGCACACGTGCCCGGCGTGAGTTTTAAGCCACCGGGTCCGGGACACGAACCGCGGTCGACTACGTGGGAGTCCAGCGACACAGCCATTACGCTAACTGCTGGTTCCCCCTATGAATCACTCTTGAAACTAGATCATTGTCATCCCCAAACTCTCCCTCTCTGTGTGTGTATATATATATATTTACATACATATATTTCTAGATGCATCTGACAGTTTGCATAATAAAACTGTAGTGATGAGGGTTGCGAATTCGAATGCTGTCAAGGACATGTGTGGCGAGCACTGCATACGGAAGCCATCTTGAGCTATCCGCCATCTTGAGCTATCCACCATCTTAGAAACCATTAGGCTTCACTTCCTCACTGAGCAAATCGTTTCTCAGAAATCATGTGACCAACTGTTCTCCCCGGAAGTGGTTGGGTTTCTAGGCAACGGGAGAGATCCACCCACGTCAATGATTGGTTCATGCTGTTGTATCTCATTTGCATTCC